GCCCACTTTCTAAAATCCACATAAGTGGTAAGTGTGCACGTTATACTTTGCGCACTTTTCTGAAATCCTGTAAGGTAAGGGTTACGCGTTATTAGCCTTGTTCCCTTTCTCTGAGTTGGTTTAGACCCCGGTACCTTGGGCTTGCCTATGAGCCTCAAAGGGTTGCCTATGAGCACACTACTCCTTTCTGAATTCGGAGTTCTCCTCTCACGTGAGAGTTGAGTTCTCTGTTTTCCCAGAGCACCTGGAACCAGCAGCATCAGGCGAACTAGGCCCTTCCTCCGCCTCTCTGATGCGCTGAGTTTTTTGGCTAGCTTGCAGTACGCTTACCCTTCTGATTTCTAATGATCGTGCTGTAGGTCGAGCCCCCTTCTCGATTGAGAACTGGGTGTGTTGCTCCCTCAGCTAAGTAAATTACTGCTAGTCGTTCCAACATTGGAACATGCTGTAGGTCGAGCCCCCTTCTCGATTGAGAACTGGGTGTGTTGCTCCCTCAGCTAAGTAACTGCTAGCTGTTCTAGCATTGGAACATGCTGTAGGTCGAGCCTCCTCTCGATTGAGAGTTCTTTCTAAAATCCTGTATGGTGAGGGCTTCGCGCGGCAGCTTCGTGCCTTTTCGTGAGCTGGTTAAGCCCTGGTTCCACCTTGGGCACCACTCCACCTTGTGTCGTCCGGATACCCACTTTTAAAAGGGTGTTGCTACCAGGGGTCTGTTGAGACAGTTCCTTCAGCATATGCAGAGCATGCGGTAGCCCCTGTGTGACAGGCCAAGACTTAGTATGATTCTAGGCTCTTGGTCGTATTCCCTTAAAGGAATCTATTCCTGATTCCAAGTCTTGAGCTATACCCCGGGCCCAGGAGTTCTGGCCCTAACAGGTAAGTTTTTGTGGTATGTAGCCTAGGCCTTTGGCCGTAGGGGATAATGTCACTGACAGCCGTCTTAACGTCCCAGGGGCAACTCCCATGGCTATGGTAGAGTTGGTACTTAGTGCTCGCCATGGTTTTCTGGCATGCACTCCCCTCAGCATGGTGGCGTGGGTATACCGTTCCCCATAGCGACCCCTAGAGGATGCAGTTCGAAGTTCCCTTGAAAGGGAACGTCTCAGGTTACGTATGTAACCATGGTTCCCTGAGTAGGGAACGAGACACTGCGTCCTCTAGGTTTCCTGCCATGCTTCGGACGCAAGCTTCAGACGAAGAAGTGGATGATGTGTTCTCCCGGCGCCTATTCATGGCTGTCGCTAGCCAACGTGTTGTTGGTGTTTTTTCAATGTATGCTTCAGACACGGGTCACGACTAGGCGTTCCCCATAGCGACCCCTAGAGGACGCAGTGTCTCGTTCCCTACTCAGGGAGCCATGGTTACATACAGTACGTAACCTGGGACGTTTTCATGACATCAAACTTGGAATTATGTCATTTTTGAATCGGAATTTTAGAACTTTGATGGAACATTTCAATGATTAAAGACAGAATATATGGCACACAAGTTTTTTTTAACCTTGTTTCAACATCATTCTGATGGTACACTGACTTCTAATAAGGCAAATGACTTCTATTTCTTTCTAGCGCTCTAAACAAAAAAAAGTGCAAAAGCTGTCACTGGGGTGGTACCTTTTCAAAAGGTTCACTTTTGTACCTCTATGGTATTAATATGTACACTTTAGGTACTAATATGTACTTTAAAGGTACCAACATGGATACTTTAGGTACAAAGGTGTACCTTTTGAAAAGATACTGCCCCAGTGACAGCTTTTTGTACCTTTTTTTTCCTGAGAGTGTGGGAGTATGTATGTCTGTGGGAGTATATGCACGTTTAGTGAAGATGCCGCAAAAATACTAATCGTCAACACCAACATCAAACACTGGTTTTGTATTTATCTGTTTTTAGAGTTTACACTAAAAAAAGCTGTTCTATAAGAGAAGTCATAGACAATTTGCACCAGGAAAGATTAATTTTACAGTACTTTTTATTCATTTCAATGGTATCTGCAAACAATGATTGATTGTCACACAACTCTTACAGACATTCAATGATGTCAAGGCCGTGATGTGATTGTTTATCAAGGCACACGTCATCCAAGCTCATCACTACACTTTCACCGATGGAAGATTTGCAAATCTTGGTATCTATAACTGTTGGGGGCTCCAAAGTCACAAAAAAGCTATTTTGCTTTAATGGTATTTTTTGACAGCTGACATCATTAAGAACTGTCTTGTTGTGTAAATGATTTTCTTCTGTGTTGCTTTTCGTTTTGTTTGTCATTGAAAGAAAGTCAAACAGGTTTGGTACAACAGTAAATAATAGTAAATAATGAAATGATTATCATTTGGGTGAACTGTTTTTTTAAAGGTGCAGTATATGATAATGACAGCTTGCGGTGTGGAGAAGAATCCATGCACATGTGCAACATTTTTTTTTTTTTTCTCACTCGCATCGATTCTCCTTGCTGTCAGGACACACTGAGCAGAACTGAGATGCATGCATTAGGTGACAAAGTGGACTTAAAATAACCTTGAGAGACAACTTTGTACTTTTAACAAAGAAATACAAGAGATCTGCCACTGTGATTGAGGCAATAAGCAAGCAATCCTCTCAAACCAAAGCTTCACAGACTTTAGAGATTAGCTTGAGGAGATCATCTTGAAGCCTTGGAGAAAAGTGAATTCCCAGACACCAAATTCAAGGCATTTTATTAGCTTAGACAGTGTTAATTTGAGCAAACACCACCTCCGGATGTCCTAAGGCCCTCTAAGAGAGAGGTGCATTCCATACAGTGCGGTTGACTTGGGAAACAAGAGCTGAACAACGTGTTCAAACAATCCACAGTACGATTTCTCAAGTTCTCACGATGTAAACACGGTTAAGAAGAGTTTATTTAAGGATAGACGGGCAATTCTGGACATATTGCAAGAATATGAATCAATACAGCTATCGACCAAGAGAAACCCAAAGGCTCTTCCAGTATTTGGAAATCCTAGTGGCTTTTTGATACTTGAAATTGTTAAATTGTTGCATACAATTTTTGTAATATCACACATAAAATTAGCATGTCACTGAAATTTATGCTTTGAGCTATGTCTGGACTCTAAACCACAACAAAAAACAGGTATTAGCCAATCAAGTCCTCAGGTTTGTTGGTGCACATGTTTTTAGAGGTTGTAGTTTTATAGAAGGCAAGTGTGGGTGGTCTAATTTCGCAGGTAATGCTGTGATCCAGACAAGTTGGAAGTGGGAACACTCAAGATGAAATTTCCCATTTCCAATCTTCCAAAGCATTCCAAAGCACTCCAAACATTCAGAACTTTGAATTCCCCCACCTTCATTTGAAAATAACCAATGGAATGTCACATTACTACTCACAGTGTTAGAAACTAGATCAAGTTTTGCTTCTCATTGACTGGCTGATCAATCTCCCCCACTACACAAGTCAACAATTTTCAAGTAGAAGAAGGGAAATTTTCACACACATTAGCAAAATGACTAAATGGTTCCAGGTAGAGTTTGTTTGCTCTCCTCTACTTGAAAACATATGACTAAAACTATACAAAGGATTAGCATTAGCAAGTTGCATTAAATAGTTACAGCTTCACTTGCATGTTTTGGGCAAATCACCAAACAAGTCGCAATTTATTATTGGCTGCCACACCCATCAAAACACAAAAGTACAATTACAGTAGTCAATGACAATAGTAATAATTTTACATATTGTTGAATCTAGGCATGGGCCGATTACCGGTTTCAAAGTATACCGCGATTTGAAAATTTCACGGTTTCAAAACCACTAATATTTTCCGTTATACCGTTCCTGCAGTATGCGCTGTTTTTCATGTCTCCTCAAAGACTGAAAGTGTAGGAATCCCTCAGGTTGAGTGCAGTGTAGAGAGTAACATGACCCTCCTCCTGTTGGTGCGAGCGAGCAGTCAGTCACGTGTGTGTAGGATGGTCGAACTTAAGGAGCTTCCCCTGGAACTTACACGATCGGCAACCGGCCGTTTTTTGGGAAACAAATCAAAGAAAAAATAAACAAACTAATTCTACTGTTCCTAATATTCTGTATGTTGCTCAAAAACAAAATATATTGTGTTCAACGGAAAAAAGTTTTTCTTTTTTTGCCCAGTCATTTAAAAATAACACATTTTAGAGCTGTAACACCAATACCGTGATACCGTGAAACCGTGATATTTTTGCTTAAGGTTATCATACCGTCAAAGTCTCATGCCTAGTTGAATCTATGTAGTTTATAGTATTATTAATACATTTCAATGTTTAATTAAGTTAACTTTTGTACAGTGAACATTTTTTTCCTACTTTATTGTAAAACATGAGTCCTGAAGTACAATCAGCTGAGATCCATTTGTTTAAAAGCACACTCAATCATTTTTAACCATCCTGAGTTATCTTGTTCCATTACTATCTACACTGAGTTAAGTAATCCTGCAGATTTCCAATACATTTTTGTAAACCCTTGAGAACCCTTTTCATTTGCCATTAGGGTTAATTGGGCAACAGCAGACAACCTGTATTGATATCAGCAGTCCGCTCTGTTAGTCTTAGTATTGGAGCCACGAAATTGTAAAAATAATCGTCTCTTCATCACTCGAATGAGCTTGTTTCATCTTACTGTTTGACATTTTGCTCAATTACCTCGCTGAAACTAAAAACATGCGCGTGAAAGTTGCTTCTCATGAATATTTAATTAGCCAAGCGCTAAAACAGTTAATGATTAGTTGACTGTTGCTAAACAACTCGCCTTATAATTCTAGCACTGAGTTGTTTACATTTTGGCACGACGATTTTTCGCTGCCTACCAGTTTTAAAAAAATACACCTGCGAACCGCTACGTGCAAAGTATGAAAGCCCTGAGCAGAGCATTTTAGTGCGTAAACATTTGCGTAATTTATGCATGACCTAACTTGTTAGTTTTTGATAATGGTCTCATACCAGTGACGTTGTATTCTCTTGGACATGTAACGGACAGATGCGTTTCCCATCATTTATATAGTAACCAGGAAAATAAATTAGAAACACAAAAATATGCTTACCTGACCCAAATTAGTAAAGCCATATTTTGAAGCGAGTTTCTCAGCTTCCACTGGTCCTTCAGGGATCCGAACAGCCCAGTGATTTGTGTAAACGCGAGAAAGCGACGCTTCCCAAAGCCAACAAGTTGAAAAAACAAAACCAACCAACAACCGCATATTGCTCGTCGATAGTCCAGCTGGTTAACTTTGCGGTAAATGATTCACGCAGGAGCGATCGCCTCCAAACTAATCAAAACACGAGCCTGTGGATGGGCATCAAACCTTCAGTCCTGGCAAAACATCCCTGAGTTACTCCCGCATTATTCTCTCCCATTCACTGCGCTGCATCCCTTCATTTGGGAGCTCTAGTTTAGAAAACCTGAGATATGTGTCCCGTTTCTCGACAGATGGCACGCCAGCCGATATAAGTGTTGTCATGTAAGCCTGGCAGAACGGAACGAGTGCGCGCTACTATTGAGGTTAGCAGCACGAGCTTATGGCTAGTGTTTGCGCGCTGCACTTGGCAAAGTGTTTCACATACTCGCCAATAAAGGCGTTTTTATCCAGACAAGTGGCGTGCAAGTAACTGTATGAGGCATACATATCGTTTACTTGGAGCTGATATGCAGATTCACACCTCAAAGGTAATTCTCATAATGACTGAATAGAAGTACAAGTATATTTCTAACTGTTTAGGGATGAGTCATGACACCTGTCAAGACCGTGCTCAACCCAAATTGTAAAAAAAGACAGAATTATAATAATCTTAATTTTACAGCCATCATGACTTCTCCCTTTATAGATAAATAGATAGATAGATAGATAGATATGCATAATATGACCTGGACATGTGAGAACTGTATCCAACAGCCCCAAAATTAAAGTTAAATGCATTAGATAACAAAGTGTGATTTTCAACTTTTCATTAGCATCTCACTTTACACACTAACTCACACACACACAAAATTTTTAAATAAATAAAAAATGATATGAAAATGATAATTACATTTAGTCACTGTAATTACGCTGAGAGTGTTTGTAACGACAGGAGTAATGCTCTGAATCTGGTGTTTCAAGAGCTCAATTGATATTGTCCTGTTGTCAATATTCAGATCTGATGAAAATAGAGCACATTGTAATCAAACTGATGAACAAACATATACGGGATCCAAAAGACCACATTAAAAATCTGAGATTTTTTCCCATATAGTCCTGAAAATAAAAGTTTTGTTGTCAGCTTGAATGCTGCTATAATGAAATCAAAAGAAGATCCAAATACTAAAGTTATTTTAAGTCACCCTCAGGCCATCCAAGATGTAGATGAGTTTGTTTCGTCATGGGAACAGATTAGGAAAACCAATTGATCCTCTGCAGTGAATGGGTGCCGTCAGAATTAGAGTCCAACAGCTGATAAAAACATCACAATAATCCACAAGTAGTCCACACCACTCCAGTCCATCAGGTAACATCTTGTGAAGTAAAAATATTCATTTTTGTAAAAACAAAAAACAAATCCATTGGATTTTTTGATTCACAAGACACTCTCATTCTGATGGCACCCATTCACTGCAGAGGATCCGTGATTGCCTGGAGGTGATTTCTCTGCAAATGTTCATTTTTGGGGTGAACTATTCCTTTATTTAAATTAGAAAATGCAAAACAGAAGCATTTTCATTGGCGTTCTCAGACTTTAGATCCCACTGTAAATGATTTGCATGATGGCTGCAGTTGTAATGCATGCAAAAGATTCATCTGTTCAGTTATGTCCTTCTTTGTTTTCTCGGTTTTATTAACTCAAGCTGAATAACAGCACTGATACAAAGTGAATTCTAAGCCAAGTTCTGTTTAAAAAAACGGTGATATAATTCTCTTTTTCTACTTCTATCCGTGCCATCTGTACCTTCCCTGCGGATTTAGAAAAAAAGGCCAGACGCACTCCGTTTTCCAATTGTAAACGATCAGGATATCTCTGTTAATGAGAAACAACACCAATAATCTAAATTTGGACGCCAAATGCCAGATTCAGTGTCAACACAGCTCAATTTTACAAAACATAAAGTACAACCATAACGATATCCAAAAGAGCCAACTGTTATGTCTTCTTCTAGGTCCCTCGATGTAAGTCTAAGGATTTTTTTTTTTCCTATTTTATTATACATCAAGCAAAAATAATAGGTCTGACTGCTTGGAAAAGGAATAACACACCTCTCCTCAACAAGCTGCAAGATTTGATGTGGCACAAACAATGCATGATGAGTTACACGCTTAGGGTATAGTAGGCTAACAGTGATGCTCGCCTCAGAAAACATCACTAATAAAACAACAGATGACCTGAAATGAGATTCTGTTAAGCAGCAGGAGCCCATTTTGAAAGAATGTAAGCTCTATAGTCATAGCTCTCGTTAAACCTCATAACCTCAGAAGACGTTTATAGGATAACAGCGGGGCGCAATCCTCCTTGAAATATTGTTGAGCATGATCTGCGCTGAAAGCTGTGCTTTAAAGGAAAACATTTCACAGTTTGGATTTATTTCATGGGTATTATGCACGCCTGATCAGCCTCGCTCTTCGTTTGGCCTCCCTGAAAATAGAAACGCAAGTTTCTCGTGAAAAACGGCGTCGTGTCGCGAGTCTGAGGTATTCAGGCGTGACTGAGTCGAGCTCATTTGATTCTTCAAGCCGATCGTTCGGCAGAGAGTGAGATATCGCTGTGGCTTTTAGCGCTGGCACTAAGCAAGTTTTTACTTGATCATCCTGAGCAATGAAGGGGAATAATTGAGCAGTATGTAATTTGAAGGTGCTGTCGTGTTAATTCTTAAAGTTAAACTTTATCTCGGAGGGAAAGCACCGCGCTGTCACCTTTACCCAGATGTCCTGATCTGAAATCTGATTCATTTACAGTTATTCATTCAGCAGACACTTTAATCCAGAGTGACTTAAAAATGAGGAAAACATAAGCGATCCATCCTGATCGTAACATGAGAAATGCTGCAATATGCTGTGCCTGTTTATTATAGAGTTTCGTTATAATTTATGACAACCCACCATTTTGTGTAGAGTTTTTTTTTTAACTAAGATTTTGTGGTGCATTATGGGATTGTCTTGCTTGCAATTGGATGCCAAATGATGTGTCTTAGAAGGCAGCATAATCTTATTGTCTACCTTTTGGAAAAACGTTTGCATTGGAAGCAGATACCTTAAAATGCTAATATGCTCCTCAGGTTTTAAAAATGGATGGCTCCTTCAGCTAAAGGCATTTATTCAAGGAATAGTTCACCCAAAAGTTACCCACCCTCAAGCCATCCAAGATGTAGATACGTTTGTTTCTTTATCAGAACAGATTTGGAGAAATTTAGCATTACATCGCTTGCTCACCAATAAATCCTCTGCAGTGAATGGGTACCGTCAGAATGAGAGTCCAAACAGCTGATAAAAACATCACAATAACACCAGTTACTGTCTTGTGAAGTGAAAAGCTGCATATTTTAGCTTTCGGCTAAAATACGAGTCCTCTATCCATAATATTGATTTCTCCAGTGAAAAAGTCATCTCATCTGAATCAGGATCTTGTGAAGTGAAAAGCTGTGTGTTTGTAATTAACAAATCCATCAAGACGTTTTTAACTTCAAATCGTTGCTTCCAGCTAAAGTCCTCTATCCAGTGAAAAAGTCATCTCATCTGAATCAGGAGAGAAATATGCACAGATCAAGCACCATTTACAAGTGAAAACCGTCTAAAACAGTTCTAAACAAATATGTGGGAAGATTTTGATGTGAGGGGACAACAGGGGATGAACTTTTTCCACAGCGTTATTATGGACTTGTGTTTTAACCAGTGGTGGACAGTAACGGAGTAGCTTTACTTCGTTACTGTACTTAAGTACATTTTTCAAGTATCTGTACTTTACTGGAGTAGTTTTATTTTGAGTAACTTTTACTT